AGGGCCGGACTGGCCCACCGGGATACCGGGAAATTTTCCGGTGGGCCGTCGGCAACTGCGGCCGGGAAGCCAGCTGGCTCACCTGCGGCTGCAGAGGGAGCTCCTTTGGCGGCCGCAGGGTTTGCTGGCTGTTCTTGCGGCCGCAGGGGGGGCTGGCTGTTGTGTCTCTGCTCCCCCTACCTGTGCGCCGCTTAATGAGGCTGGGAGCCGGAGTATGACGTCATATTCCGGCCCCGGTCTCATTAAGCGGCGCGCAGGGGAAGGGGAGCCGCAAGAACAGCCAGCAAACCCTGCGGCCGTCAAAGGAGCTCCCTCTGCGGCCGCCAGAAGAGCTCCCCACAGGTAAAATCGTGTATGTGTGTGTGTGTGTCTGTGTCATTTGTGTGTCTGTCTGTCTGTCATGGTGTGTGTGTGTGTCTGTGTCATGGTGTGTGAGTGTCTGTCTGTGTCAGCAATGTGTGTATGTCATGGTGTGTGTGTGTGTGTCTGTGTCATTGTGTGTGTCTCTGTGTCATGGTGTGTGTGTGTGTCTGTCTGTGTCATTGTGTGTGTCTCTGTGTCATGGTGTGTGTGTCACTGTCTGTCATGGTGTGTGCATCTGTCTGTGTCATGCAAGTGTGTCTATGTCATGGTGTGTGTGTCTGTCATGTAATGTGTGTCTGTCTGTGTCACGGTCTGTGTGTGTCATGGTGTGTGTTTGTCTGTGTCATATAATGTGTGTCTGTCTGTGTCACGGTGAGTGTGTGTGTGTCACAGTCTCTTTGTGTCGTGGTGTTTGTATCTGTGTGTCACGGTCTGTCTGTGTTATGGTGTGTGTGTGTGTCAAGGTGTGTGTCTGTCATGGTGTGTGTGTGTGTCTGTCTGTGTCATGGTGTGTCTGTCTGTCATGGAGTGTGTGTGTTTCTGTCTGTGTCATGGTGTGTGTCTGTCATGGTATGTGTGTGTGTATGTGTGTTTTTACTCATTTTTTTTTCACGTTATGCTGGTCTCCCCTCGCCTGTCAATCCGCACTGACACAGGAAGCACCTCTAGTGACCGTCTGAGTGTCTGTCACTAGGAAGCAATGTAAACACTGCCTTTTCTCTTAAAAGTCATTGTTTACATTGAAAAGCCTGCAGGGACAGGCTATAGACACCAGTACCACTACATTAAGCAGTGTGTGTGCGCGCGCTTGCTTGTGTGTGTGTGTGTGTGTGCCTGCTACTGAGTGAGCTTGTGTTTTTATGTCAATAACCTTATGTATGAGGCTGTGTATCAATCAGCTTGTGTCAGTGAGATTGTCTGTGTATGCATGTGAGTATACTGTATAATTAAAAAATGTACTCTGAAAGGACCAATATTTTATACTGGAAAAAGATATATATATATATATATATATATATATATATAATATTGCCAGAGATAGCACTCCAAGGACTAATATAAAATATAACTTTTATTACCTCCACTAAAACAACACAAGGTCAACGTTTCAGCTTGATCCCCTCAAGCGTTCGTCAGGAGATGATTTTTTGCATTTTTGGCTGACAAGCACCGGGCATTGAATATTGAATTGGTGGAGTGCAAGATCCATTTGGGCGACAATATATGGCGCAATGACTTATGGGGCTGGCATAGATTTTTTTTCCAGGGCTGCTTTGGAATCCCCAGTCCGGCCCTGGTTCTGCTTCATACAAAACCCCTGCTTCCTCTATACAAAACTCCTGCCTCTTTTTAAAAAATCATGCCGCTCTCTTTACAATATCCCTACCCCCTTTCTACAAAACCCCTGCCCCCCTCTGCAAACCCTTTCCTCCTCCTCTACAAAATCCTTACCCCCCACAAAACCCCTGGTCAGCCCCTAATAGGTATATCCATAAAAAAAAACAAAACCAAAAACCACAATATTAGCAAGTAGGCTCACAATTGATGAAAGGCATGATAGATTGCCTGCTTGCTGCTCCCTGCTGCTGAGGCACTACCGTCTTGGCGCTGCCCGCATCCATTGTCAGAGGCTCACAGCGAAGCAATGTGAAGGCAGACTAGTGGAGCATGTCGGGAAAGCGTAACCTAGCATTGCACACATTGGCACTCCTCCTCCTCCACATGATTAGCAGCCCTTGCTAAAATAGTGGATGGCAGCCCCCTAACGATTGTACTGCCCCCTCCTCCCCAATTAGTATGCCACTGAAACAGAATGTAATAGTTTTTTTTTTTTTTTTTTAAACCACCTAACATTGCATAAACGTGCCACAACACCAATATACCTAATTTTTAGCAGGTCCAATCCTAGAAACCTGATGCCTGCTCTTATGAGAGCTTACGTGTGATATCCTTTCTCATGGGGCTGTCTGCTGTGCCTCCTCCTCCTGCAAGGCATTTCCTGTGTGAGAGACAGATGGGAAGTGATTCCTTCCACTTCCTGTCCAGCCTCACACACAGACAGTGGAGGAGCAGGGACAACACAGACTTTTACACCGTCTGTAACTGCTCCTGCAGCCCTGATATCGTACATTGAAAGCTGACTGTACTACAGAGGGCACCAGCCAAGGTGTCTGGTACTTAATCCCCACCAGCCTACTTAAACTTTTAAAAAGCACATTATGTGATGGAGATAACATGCATCTGTAAGCAGGTGCCTACTGTGTGTAATGGGAAATACGCCCATGTTTGCAAAGAATCCTCACGTAGCTCCCTGCATGGTTCTCTCAAACCACCATGGGGGTATTAAATGTGTATTAAATGTTGCCTTTCTTGACAGATATACTGATCAATCTGTCTCCAAAATATTATATGATGGGTCCCCCTGTTGTAATCTAAAAAGGCCTCATAGGCGTTTGTTTGTAGTATTTACCAGGGAACTCTGTGCAAAGTCCATAGAGTCATAAAGTAAAGGGCAGCCTCTCTGAGGATGGCGTCAGTGCAGACTAATAACCCCTGAAATGCAGTCTGTTTCTGTGTGAAGTTGTCTGACAGACTTTAAAGTCCTCTTATTTGTGAGCCAGTTGCAGAATTTATAGCCCGAGGGATGCCCATCTCTGAAGGACACTGTAACTTAATTGCCTTTTAGATGCAAACGTCAGGAGTCAGATGCTGAATTATGTCATTAATTGAAGCGCATTCTTCACTTTGCATGGAGAGACATAATCAGAGTGTCAGAGTTTTATCATGAGGTGCTCCCCCATCTCATCTCTAAACATTTAATCCCCATGAGTTGCACTTCCAGCTTGCTGCAGTGAATAGCTGACAGGGTAACAGTTTTTGGTGTCGCCCACAAACAGGATGATTTCAAGGTCTGCTTAGTTGTGTTAACAGAGTACAATAAACTCCTGTTAAAAAAATAAAAAAATAAAACAGGGTTATTTGCTAAATAGGGAAATGGAAAAAAGGAATTTAATTTTATTTAAAGCCAAAAATAGCAGAGATGTAAACCACAGCTGAGCTGGAGTGAGTAGTTTTCAATTTGGTTATTTTAGTTTAAAATAAGCTATTACCTAGTCAATTCCAATCAATTTCCTGGTTTATTGAACAACTCTGATAAAAAAATAAAAAAAATACAAAGTCCAGTCTGGAAAAATAAAACCGAATAAAATGAATAATAGTTGTAGATTATTAGGTAGTAACAAGGAATGGATCCAGATTTTCTGTCGTCCTGTGCCAAGACACATGGTAAGCCCACATGCCCATCTATCTGAAAATAGCCAAGAACATTTACATTGCAGTTAGGCTGGAGCTGACAGGACTTACTGGGGTCCAATGCAACCATATGAGCTGCGAAAATATTGTAAACCCTAACAAGCAGACTTTTATTTCCCTCTTTCTTTCAGTGTGTAATGCCTCACATAATTTACATGCTGTGAAATATGCTTACATTTTATAAATAAACCAATAATAACAATTTCAGAGCACATTGTAAGGCTTTTTAATTAATTTCTCCAACTTTTAAAACATAGTGTGCCCTCACCCCACCCATCCTCTATTGCTGGAGACATTATATCAAACTCAAGTATGCCATTTTGTCTAATCTCACGCTGTTTAGCACAAGACACTAGGAGTATTTATTCAGAAATCAAAAAATAAAGGCCTTGTCTGGAAAATATGTCCACTTATACAGCTAAGCGAAGCAGTCGAATGATATACTGTGAAAATGCAGTATATTAGTATAAGGAAAGGAAAGCATCATCTAAAAAATTTAAACAACCAGAGAAACAGTAAACCATCACTATCATTTAATGGTTCCATCCAAAATTTATTTTCAGTTTACATTATTTATATAGCAATATACCCCCAATAAGTTGCACAGAAATTGTTTGTGGTTTGTTTTGTATTTAAAATCAGGGCCGTCTATAATATGAATAGGACCCCGGGCAAAGCCTTTTCTTGGGCCCCCTGGGCCCTGTCACTGCACCCTCCCTCCCCATTACGCCCAACCCGCAATCACACTGACAGACATACTGACACATACACACACAGACAGACACATTAAAACATTCGCAGATACATACTGACACACACATATACTGACACAAAAATATATACTGGCAAACATTGACACACATTCAGACATACTGATACACACACAGACACATACATACTCACAGACACATACACTGACAGATATATTGACACAGACACACACAGACACATACACTGACAGGCGTATTGACATACACAGACATACTGACATACACACACGCACACTGGAACACAGTGAGACATACTGACATACAAACACACAGACATACACACAGTATGTCTGTGTGTGTTAGTATGTCTGTGTGTGTTAGTATGTCTGTGTGGTGTGTTAGTATGTCTGTGTGTGTATGTCAGTATGTCTGTGTATGTCAGCATGTCTGTGTGTGTATGTCAGTATGTCTGTGTGTGTTAGTATGTCTGTGTGTGTATGTCAGTATGTTTGTGTGTATATATGTCTGTGTGTGTGTATGTCAGTATGTGTGTGTGTGTATGTCAGTGTGTGTGTATGTCTGTGTGTGTGTATGTGTCAGTATGTCTCTGTGTGTGTGTGTCAGTGTGTCTGTGTGTGTATGTCAGTATGTCTGTCATAGACACACACAGACATACTGACATACATACACAAACAGACATACTGACACAGACATACTAACACACACACATACTAACACACTAACACACACACACAGACACAGACATACTAACACAGACACATACTAAAACACACACACAGACATACTAACAAACACACATACAGACATACTAACACACAAACACAGACATACTAACACACACAGACATACTAACACACACAGATATACTAACACACACAGGCATACTAACACACACAGATATACTAACACACACACATACTGACATACATTTAGCCACCCTCCAGGTTCTTACCTTTTTATGGAGGGTGGTTTCCCTGGGGTCCAGTGGCAGGCTGAGGCAGATGGGAGTTCTTCTCTGGAACTCCCCTCCTCCCTGCCTTCCTCCTCCCGCGCGGCTATCTCCGGTGGGAGGAAGTGACGTGCGGTACTCACTTCCTCCCAGCCGGTACAGGAAGGGGCCCGGTCGCGCTGTTTAAGCGTCACAGCGCCCGACCGGGCCCCTTCTGCCACATGCCCACAGGGTGGCCCTTAGTGCATGGGCCACCCGGGGGCCTCCTTAGTTGGCAGGCCGGTGCGGCTGCACCGCCGGCCGCTGGGTACATTGGGGCTGCTGAAATCGCGGGGCCCACGGGGCAGCTGCTCTGGGGCCCCCCATGAGCAACTGGGCCCGGGGCAGTTGCCCCATTTGCCCCGCGCTAAAGATGGCCCTGTTTAAAATTGTATTTTGAGGTTTGAAACTGTAAGTGTTGGCTATTGATAATGCAAGTGACGGGTACTGGTAATATATATTCTGAAATAAGTGAATAAATATTCAAAAAACGGTGGGTTTTACAAAACAAAAGCCATGTTTATTCAATATACAGGATCTTAACACTAATTATATGCAATGTGCATGGTGCAATGTAGAACTGATTTTAATGGAGCTCAGAGGGTGTGAAGATATATAGAGAGTGGCTTGACAAATGAACATGAAGTTCCTCTACCATGGTCCTACTTGGTCACACTACAAATAAAATAAAGGGGGGCTTAAAAGACACAGAAGACTCAAAGAGGTTAGGGAGGATTAAGAGTCACATATAAAAGGTTATAGACACACAAGGGGTAAGGGGTTTAATACACACAAAAAGGGGGTGAGGAGATACAGGGAAATAACACAAAAGATGGTGGCGTGCCACACAAAATATTTTACAATTCCTTGGGTGTCAAATAGGCTAGGTAAACTTCTGGTCTCTGTTATCCATCTTATCTTCTTTACACTATTTCTCTGCTGGTTCCTTTCCCCTCTCCATCACTTTTCTTTATCTTAAAGGACCACTCTAGGCACCCAGACCACTTCAGCTTAATTAAGTGGTCTGGGTGCCAGGTCCTTCTAGGGTTAACCCATTTTTTCATAATTATAGCAGTTTCAGAGAAACTGCTATAATTATGAATGGGTTAAGCCTTCCCCCTAATCCTCTAGTGGCTGTCTCATTGACAGCCACTAGAGGCGCTTGCGTGCTTCTCACTGTGAAAATCACAGTGAGAGTACGCAAGCGTCCATAGGAAAGCATTGTAAATGCTTTCCTATGAGACCGGCTGAATGCGCGCGCAGCTCTTGCCGCGCGTGCGCATTCAGCCGGTGGGGCGTAACGGAGGTGGAGAATAGGAGGAGAGCTCCCCGCCCAGCGCTGGAAAAAGGTAAGTTTTTACCCCTTTCCCCCTTCCAGAGCCGGGCGGGAGGGGGTCCCTGAGGGTGGCCTCAGGGCACTATAGTGCCAGGAAAACGAGTATGTTTTCCTGGCACTATAGTGGTCCTTTAATGGGTTACTCCAAACATCATGACCACTTCAGTGAATATTTAAAGTGGTGGTAGGTGTATATATTTGCAGTGTTTCAGCTTAAAAAATATTAGTTGGGATATGTTGTAAGCCACCTAATGTAAATATTTATGAGGAAGAACAGCTGTTAGAGCAAATTGGGAAAGCTGCAAATAGGGGTAACACGTTAATTATTGGAGATTTTAATTACCCGGACATAAATTGGGAAAGAGGGACTAGTACTTCAGCAAGGGGAATCACTTCTTCATGTCACAACTGGTACAAGCACCAACTAGAAAGGATGCTTGTCTGGATCTCGTTATAACAAACAATGTTGTTTCTTTTGACCAACATTCAAGTAGGGGAGCATTTGGCAAATAGTGATCACAATATGGTAACCTTTGAAATAAACTTAAAAAAGCAAAAGCACGTGGGGTATACTAAAACATATAATTTTACAAAAAGCCAATTTCAATAAGATTAGGGCAGCTCTACAACATATCGACTGGCATAAATTCCTTAGTGAAAAAAACACTGAGGATAAATGGAAACTATTCAAACAAATATTAGAGAGGTACATTTCTCAGTATATACCATTGGGCAATAAATATAAAAGAAACAAATTGAAACCAATGTGGCTTAGAAGAGAAGTAAAACAAGAGATTCAAAATAAGAAAGGGCATTTAAAGCATTTAAATCGGACAAATCAGAGGCATCATATATAAGAAATAAGAAATCCAATAATGCTTGCAAAATGGCAATTAAAGTGGCTAAAATCGAAAATGAGAAATTGATAGCCAAAGAACGCAAAACCAACCACAAGATTTTTTTTCAAGTACATAAATTCTAAAAACACAAAAAATTAAAGTGTAGGTACACTGGAAACAGAGATGGTCTGTTAGTTAATGAAGACCAGGAAAAGGCAGAAATTTTAAATAACTATTTTTCTTCAGTATATATTAATGAGGATCCTATGGAAAGAGATATGCAAATGATTTCTGCAAAAAAACTTCCAGATAGCTTGTGATTGGATGAATCCAGACAAGGTGCTACAGCAGTTAAAGAAAATTAATGTAAATAAAGCTCCTGACGGTATTCACCCACGTGTACTTAAGGAGCTTAGTGGGGAAATAAGTGAACCTTTGTATTTAATCTTTCAAGATTCTTTGGTTTCAGGGATTGTACCGGAGGATTGGAGGAAGTCAGATGTCGTTACTATATTTAAAAAGGGTTCTTGCCTGGAAATTTTAGACCTGTGAGCTTAACTTCTGTGACTGGGAAAATATTTGTAGGGCTATTAAGCGTTAATATTCAGGAATTCATTGGGAAAAACTTTATTAGCAATAATCAGTATGGTTTTATGAAACATAGATAATTTCAAACTAACCTAATTGCATTCTATGAAGAAGTAAGTAGAAGTATAGATCAGGGTGTTGCAGTAGATGTGATCTACTTGGATTTTGCCATGGCATTTGATACGGTTCCTCACAATACGTTGGTCTTCAAACTAAAAGAAATTGGTCTAGATGAATGCTCTTGTTCTTGGGTAGAACATTGGCTTAAGGATAGAGTACAATGAGTTGTCATTAATGGTAAATTTTTAGGCTGGGCAAAAGTGGTAAGTTGAGATTTTCAGAGTTCTGTTTTTGGGACCACTTCTATTTAACATATTTATAAAATATCTTGCAATAGGCATTGAAAGTCATGTTTCAGTGTTTGCAGATTACACAAAACTTTGTAGAGTAATAAAATGTGAGCAGGATATTGTTTTGCTGCAGATGGATTTAGATAGATTGGGGGTCAGGGCACTAAAATGGCAGATGAAATTTAATGTAGAGAAATGCAAAGTTATGCACTTTGGGGTCAAGAATGCACAAGCAATTTACACCCTAAAAGGTAGTGAATTAGGAATAACCACACACGAGAAGGATTTGTGAATTGTTATAGACAACAAATTAGGCAGCAATATGCAATGTCAATCTGCAGTTGCTCAGGCCAGTAAGGTTTTGTTGTGTATAAATAGGGGCATACATTCTCGGGATAAAAATATAATTTTGCCTCTTTATAAATCGCTGGTAAGACCACACCTTGAATATGCTGTGCAATTTTGGGCATCTGTTCTAAAGAAAGATATCATGGCACTAGAAAAAGTGCAGAGGCGAGCTACAAAATTGATAAAAGGAATGGAGCATTTTAGTTACGAAGAAAGGTTAAAAAATTTAAATTTCTTTAGTTTGGAAAAACCGCGCCTGAGAGGGGATATGATAACATTATACAAATATATTCGGGGCCAGTACAAACCATTATCTGGAAATCTATTCATAAACAGGGTTATACATAGGACACGAGGTCACACATTTAGGCTGGAAGAAAGGAGATTTCATCTAAGGCAAAGAAAATGTTTTTTTTTTACAGTAAGAGCAAAAAGGATATGGAATTCTCTCTGAAGAGGTGGTTTTATCAGAGTCCATACAGATTTTTAAACAGCAATTGGATAAATACTTGCAAAAACATAACATACAGGGATATAATTTCTAATTAGTGGGGTAATAGCTGCTTCATCCAATGAGATATCTGACCACTATTTTGAGGTCAAGAAGAAAATTTTTCCTAGTTTTTTGCAAAATTGGAAGCGCTTCAGAATGGGTTTTTTACCTTCTTTTGGATAAACAGCAAAAACATATGTGAGGAAGGCTGAACTTGATGGACGCAAGTCTCTTTTCAGCTATGTAACTATGCAACATACTGAGTGATTTTCAAATGTATGCTGGGGGCATCTGCAAGGGGAAGCTAGCTCCTCCCTCCCAACTTCACTTCCTGTTGGTGCTCTTTGTTCCCTCAATTCTTTTTCCCTCTCCTTCTCTCCATTTACCAGTCAGAGTGTACTCATGCGCTCTTAGCTAGCAAGCTGGTCCATTCACAAGCTTCTCATTGAGAAGCCTGTGATTGGGCCGCAATAGGCCCCATATTAAGTTGGAGGTGGGGTAGAAGTCAGCACCGGGAGGCAAGTAAAAATTATTTTTTAGGCATGTACTGAAAATAGAGCAGGGGAATCTTCTATATAGTGCCCAATAGGGCATTTAAGACAGGAAAGGTGTTCACTATAATTTTTCGCATTCTCTTTGCCATTTTCTATTTTCCCCACCATTAATCAGTATTTTTTACTGTGTCCACCTATACTATCAGCCTATGCTATGTAGTGGTGTGTTTGTGGCTCAAGTGT